CAAAGCGGCGCTCAGCCCGTCCGCCGCGTGCCGCACGACCCCCTCGCGCTCCAGCTCCTGCAAATACCGGCGCGCACGTGCGCCTCCTCCTCCGCGACGTAGTACAGCGAGAGGTGCGGGAACGCCGGCGGCGCGCCCGCGCGCCCTTGCCCGCGCACGCCCGCCAGCGCGCCCCGCAGCTGCGCCAGCTCGGAGGACGGCGCGATCGCGGCGTAGATCGAGCGGTGGTAGTGGTCCCCGCTAGCACGCGCGCGAAGCGCACGCGGATCGAGCGTTGCCCGAAGGGCACGGCTTCGCGCAGCGCGAGGAGCAGCGCGGCGCGTTCGGCGTCGTACGCGTCGTGCGACGCGGACGCTGCTGCCGCCTCTGGATCGCTTGGTGGTGGCGGTGGTGGCGGTGGCGGTGCGAGTGCTGGGTCTACGTGGACGGTCGCGAGCGTGACGTGCGGGTGGAAGTGCGGGAAGGAGTGCGGTGCGACTGGCTCGGGGTGGCGGGCCATCAACTGTTGGAGGATCGCGGATTCCGGTTCCCAGGGCACGAGCCAGGCTGAGATGGCTGCCGCCGGCATTGCCACGATTGATCCCAGGTATCAGTCAGGATGTGTGTGTGCGCTTTGTAGTGTTTCTGCTGCAAGACATACCCATTCTTCTCCCTCTATGATGTGCTTATGCGAGAGGCTGAGTGGTGAAGGGCAATTGAGCTTGGCGGTGACTACCGGTAATGACGGTGTGGATCACTACGTTCTCGGATTTATATAGTACAAAGCCGCGGGAACCTTGTGCACCAGTATATAATCATATGAGAGGGGATAAGGGGGACATCGTGGTACCTCGCAGTAAACGTTATCGATGCTAACTAAAACTGGTAGAAAGATAATGTCCGCTTTGAGAGAGTAGGGATTGATACACCAGGACCAATGGGGTACAATAGTATACAACGAAAATAGAGACCGGATTGATTTCATAGCACTGATGTTGACGGGGCATGCTAGTGTCGTCAACGCAGGGATCAGATGTTCAACCTATGGTTGTCTAGGTCGTCGTCGAACGTGGCCCGAGGCTGACCCAGCTTTCGCCCACACCAGCCCCATCATTACTCTCAACGTCCGCTTCCGAACCATTTTCAGACGTCTCGCGTTCATGTTCTGAGGACGGTGCCGAATCAACCGTCTCCTTCGTCACGGCTGCCGGAGCTTCGGGAGGATCGGGTAGAGGACGTGGTGCTGGAGCCGGTGGGAGCTCCGGCGCAGTAACCGACGCAGTAGCAGTAGCCGATACGCGAGTCCGACACAAAGCCTTGTGAGTGGAAAGAAGGAAATATGGGAAGCTGATGATGATATCGAGGAGAGCGCCAGGAAGGTGTGATACAATTGAGCTCATCACAGCTGTGCAGAAAGAGAGAGCAAAAAATGTATCAGCAAGGCGTAGGTTCGCTGGACTAAGTGCGATGAAACCTACCTCCAGATCCAACGGCGTAGCGGCCACCACGCAGCCAATCGAAAACCGGCCCAAAATGGACCCGTAGGCCACAAAGCGACACGGAACACACTCTACCGTAGCTGACAATTTGTACAAGGTCGCCGACGAAGCGATCCACCTTCTGGGTCTTGCGCTGAAACTTGCGACTTGAGCCCTCCAGAGTGATTTCCCATGCCGGTCCATAGGCCAACTTCTCTGACGGTGTCCACGATTTTGTGTACTCCTTGGGATCGTAATCCAGCAGGCGACGGCCGGCGAACGGCGGGATATCCAGTGCGCCAACTTCAAGACTGACAACTTCGATATCGTTCATTCCTTCGGCGCCGCCCGTTGTGGCGGCAACGCGCACTTCGCGGCGGAGGACGTCAACGGCACGAAGAGTCGCGGCTGCGCTAATCGAGCTCGGGCCCATAAAAGGCAGCCCAATGCGCGCGTCGGTCGCCGGAATACATACGACGATGCTCTTCTTTCCCTTGTTGTTCTTGATAGCATCGCGCGTGCGTGACGGAGAGTTACGCATGAGGGGGAGGAGAGCTTGGACGATGTGTAGAGGAGTGATGTGCGTGGCGTTGAGATACTTGAGATATTCTCCCTGAAGCTGGACGTGTTCGAGAGGGGCGAGGGCGGAGAATTGGGAGAGACCGAGAAGGGAGACGACGGAATGGACGAAGGGATGCGTCGCGGGCGAGGCATGCGGGTCACCATGGACGTTGATTGGGAACCTGTGGGATAATGCAGAGGCCAAGGAGCGGAGGAAAATCGGAATCGTGGCGGGCTATCGTGGTGTGAGAGAACCGAATGAGCTTCCGGGGATGCAAAAGCGCACCTCGAATGGATCGAGGACGAGTGCCCTGACATATCCCTTCCCCGCACGTTCGAGCTCGTCCACCGCTTCGGGGGTAGCGACGCTAGCGATGATGATGAACCCCTTCTTCTCAAGGGCGACGATCAGAGGAAGCGCCACTGGATTGTCACCCCCGAGCACGACTAGGGACCGCGGACCGACTGTCAGACGGATTCCTCTGGACTACTAAAGCCGATGCGTACCAACAACCTGTCGCCGCTCGTGAGATGCAGCGTGATATCTTCTATGCGACCTCGACTGCGACTTGGCTCGATAGGCACTGTACCCGACCAGCAGTCCCATGCCCACCACACCGACTCCTAAGCTGGATGCCTTCCATGGATTATCAAAGGCCCAGTCCATTGCATTTTCGAGAGGGGGCACTGGGGGAGGGGGCGGCGGAGGAGGAGGGGGCGGAGGGACCTCGATGAGCACTGGCAAGTGTATCTCTGGGATGCCAGGCCCATATCGCGAGACATCTGCCCACAACCTATTCAATGCCTCTTGGATGTTGGGCATTTGTGCCACGGCCGAGGAATACGATACGTAGATATAGTCCTCAATGGACTCGATGTGTTCCTGGATGCCTTCCGGGAGAGACATTGAGGACAGATGGATGCAAAGTCGGTGCCTGTGACCAGGCGAGTCGTGGGCGCAAGTCGCGTTTTCCGATCCAGCTAGCCTCGGCTTATGATTGCGGCGATACTCATACAGTACTGGATATGTACACCCAACACACTACACAAAACACTTCTCAAAGTCACCCTCCCCGTCATGCCTTGCATATCCCTGGCTATCCACGAACGCATCCAACTTGCACAACCCTGCAACACCACTACAGAACTCCAACTGTTGTATAGCGTCGTTGACCAGGATCCTGACGTATATCCCCTCCGGCAGCGGGATACTCCCCAAGCATTCGAGCCTTTCAACAACTAATCTTGCACTAAAGGGGACCATCCTTGACACAACCCAAGTCCTTGACGTAGATGGATTGACCGGGTCTAGTTTCTGGTCTGGTATGAGATGTTGCTGGAACAGGCTCAACGCCGAGTAAATTGCCACCATTTCGTTGTCGTGAGAGAAGTCGGCATATAAAGTGCGATCGAGAGGGAATGTCTCCGGTGATGCATCCAACGTGCGGTTGGTTTGGGTGTTATCTCGAACGGGCTGCCCGGTGAGCCTGGCGAGGAGCTCGTTCACATATCCTACCCCTTGTACGCGCCCAACCATCCCTCCGTAACTACCGTCGCAGGAGTTGACGACCAACGGCAAGGAAAATAGAAGGGAGTAGACGTACCCGTTACTGTAGAACTTTTCGAGGTCTGCATGGTATTCATAATCGATGAACTCTTTCATGTCGAATAGGCCGCAGAAAGGACTCGGGGACATGGTGACTTGAGAGTGGAAGACGCAGAGAGACATGAGGTTGTGGACATCCTTATTAGCCAAATGGGCACCAGGCGCATCTGAATTCAGACGCTTCTTGATGGGTGGCGCATATACTTTAAGCCATTCCTTAGTTTGCTCATCTCCGTCGCTTGCACTAGGACACATGCCATCATCCAAGGTGGCATTGCCCTTACAGGATGTGAGGGTGTGGACATAAAATACAAGAGAATTGCGCTGACCGTCTCTGGGAGGATGAGATCCACTTTAGCTTTGATTACACCGGAACTGGCTCTACGGAAACCTAAGGGATTTCTGATAAGAATGCCGAATCGGACCACGATTGACGCGACATACCGGCAGTCCAGTTAGAGGCAGAGTCCACCACACGAGGTAAGCTAGCCGCTCTGACAAATGGTGGGTTGTCCTCCGTCACGATAGGCATGTACCTGCCAAAGGCAACGGTTCCAGCCTCGAATGACCTTGACAAACGCATCAGAATAATTCCAGAGAACTGAGATAATTGAAGCGCACTGATTTACGCCAAGCGGAAGAAGATCTTCCGCTCCAAAGTCCCAAGTGAAGTCCTTGAGGAAGTCGAGGTATTTCTTCTTGTAGTGCTTGACCCCTTGTAGCTTTTCAATAGTAGATTTATATCCTGCGCCACGATCACTAGTCGGCCATCGTGCGCCATGTCGTTGCAACTATCCCTTGTCAATGAAAGTCCTCTTGGATGAAGAATACCACATACAAGGTTTACCTAAGGGCATGCCGTGTTAATCGTAGGTCGAGAGATAACCGAATGCGAACTCACTTGATTTATGATGCATCCGGGAGGTGGAGGGATATACTCGGCAACCGGGATATATGGCGAGTATTGGCCCCAATTCCGCAGCACGCCCTCAGGAAACCCGATATCTGGAATATCGCTCGTTACAATGGTTTCCGATAATGACGCTGGCCTCATGCATGGCGCAATTGACCGGTGTGACCATGACCACCATAAAAATGACGCAAAGATGAAGATGACGGCGGGGATACGCCAATGACCTCGTTTCCCCCGTCGCGCTGAATGATCGGAGAAATACGACGGAAGAGCGACATCGTCTGCCAAGTCGGAACCAATCTTTTCTTTGGTCATTCTGTGGGGTGTAGGAGTAGGAGGCACTCACTGGCAGGCTTCCGCATTTTGTTCGCGCACATGTGGTTGGTACGTCAATTGCGCGTCATAGTGGATCCATGTCCATGTCAGCTGACCGATAGCTCATCCTTATTCATCGCTCTGGCAAGGCGCTATAGCCAAGTGGTTACGGCGACAGATTAGAATCATGCGAAATTGGTCATCTGTTTCCCTTTGGGAGCGCAGGTTCGAGTCCTGCTGGCGTCGAAATTTTAGTTTTGCTATGCCTGTGGTGATTTTTGACCTTGGTCATCTTTTCGTGCACTGAGATGGTATCCCTGGGGTCGACTGCCATCATCACCGGTTCCCAACTGCATAATGGTGATGGTGCCCTTATCAAAATCATAATCATCAAATCATCACATCATGTGATCTATCAGCGACTGTGACTGCCAAACCACGCCAAACCACACCACACACTCTCAACCCCCATTATCCGAATCCGAGGATGTCCAAAGAAATTGCATCCGACGTGGCGGATGATGTCGCTCTTCCGTCGTATTTTTCCGATCATTCAGCGCGGCGGGGGAAACGAGTTCATTGGCGCATCTCCGCGCCGTCTTGCTCTTCGTGTCGTTTTTATGGTGGTCATGGTCACACCGGTTGATTGCACCATGCACAAGGCCAGCGTTGTCATCGGAAACCGTCGCAACTGTACCAGAAAGTGAGGTTCCAGATGTCGGATTTCCTAGGAGCACGTTGCGGACTTGGGGCCAATACTCGCCTTACGTTCCTGTTGCGAAGTATATGCGTCCACCTCCTGGGTGCGTCATAACTCAAGTGAGTCCGCATTCATTCGTGTCTCGACCTTCAGCTGACCCACAAGTGCGTCAGGTGAATCTGGTATGTAATATTTTCCTTCGGTCAAGGAGGATTTGCCACTGACAAGGGACAGCTGCAAAGGCATGGCTCACGATGGCCAACTACCCAGCGCGCCGCAGAGTATAAGGCTACTGTAGAAAAGCTACAGGGCGTCAAGGACTACAAAGAAAAATACCTCGTCTTCCTCAAGAACTTCACCTGGCATTTCGGAGCGGAAGATCTTCTTCCGCTTGGTGCAACCAGTGCGCTTCGACCGTCTCCGGTTCTCCAAAATCATTCTGACGCCGTTTTTTTTTAGGTCATTCGAGGCTGGAGCCACTTCCTTTTCCAGGTACAGGGACATCGTGACAGAGGACAACCCCCATTTGTCAGGGCAGCTGGTTCGCCCCGCGTAGTAGATTCTGCGCTAATTGGACTGCGGGTCGGTCGCGTCGCTCGTTGTGCTCGTTCGACTTCCTCATGAGTGATTCACCTAGGCTTCCGTGCAGCCAGTCGCGATACCATCAAGGCAAGAGTGGACCTTGTCCTCCCCGAGACGGTCAGCGCAATTTTCCTCTCCTGTTTTCCGTTCGCACTCTAAAATTTCGCAAAGGGTAATCTCACCTTGGATGACAGCATGTGCCCTAATGCAAGCGACGGAGACAAGCAAACTAAGAAATGGCGTAAAGTATATGCGCCGCCCATCAAGAAGCGACTGAATGCAGCTGCGCCTGGTGCCCATTTGAACAACAAAGATGTCCACAACCTCATGTCTCTCTGCGTCTTCCACTCTCAAGTCACCATGTCGCGGAGTCCTTTCTGTGCCCTATTCAACATGAAAGAGTTCATAGAGTATGAATACCATGCAGATCTCGACAAGTTCTACAGTAACGGGTGCGTCCATCCTTTTTTTTTTTTTTCGTTGTTCGTTAACTCCACGACGGTTCTAGTTACGGAGGGAAACTTGGTCGCGTGCAAGGGGTAGGATATGTGAATGAGCTAATTGCCAGGCTCTCCGGGCAGCCCGTTCGAGATAACACTCAAACCAACCGCACGTTGGATGCCTCACCGGAGACATTCCCTCTCGATCGCGTCCTATATGCCGACTTTTCTCACGACAATGCGATGGTGGCCATTTATTCGGCATTGGGTCTTTTCCAGCAACGTTTCCTACCGAAGCAGAAACTAGACCCGACCAAGCCATCTGCAATGAGGACTTGGGTCGCGTCGACGATGGTTCCCTTCAGCGCAAGGATGGTTGTCGAGAGGTTCGAATGCACGCGAGCCCGCCCGCTGCCGAACACACGCTTCGTGAGGATCCTGGTCAACGACGCCGTGCAGCCGTTGGAGTTTTGCGGTGGCAACGCGGGGTTGTGCGAGTTGGATGCGTTCTTGGACAGCCAGGGATATGCAAAGCATGACGGGGAGGGCGACTTTGAGAAGTGTTTCGCGTGAAATTGGATGCACATGTACCCCCCCATGTTTAGGGACTATGTTTTTACTTTGATTTGTAACTACTGTAATGAGTGGACCACATACCACATACCACGACTGACATTATACGCTTGAGTTCACAGCGGCCCTGGCCGTGGACGGTCTTGTATCGTCTTCTCAAACATGTCTCCCTGAAGACATTCAAGAGCACCTCGAAGTCTAGAGGACTATATTAACGTTTCTCATTTCTCGAATAACGCAATCTACTGAGCACCCATGAGGCTTCGATCAGGCCGTGGGCAGCGGCGATATGCCAGAGAAACGCTTGCTGGTGCCCATCAAAGTCCTCCACCTTAGACACCTCTTCCCACCGCCGTTTCACGTAATTTTTAGGGTTTTCTGCTTCATTCTCTTGCCCATTGATTAGAATAGGGATTCTTATCATTCAAAAATTGGTCCACCGTGCCCGGCCAGCCTACCGGAAGATACGAGATGAGATGTTGCGATGATCAGTACGTTCATATCTAACATGTTTCACACTTCATGATCCATAATGGAGGGAATAAATTTTTGATTATTGCAGCAATGTCTAATCCCGAAGGTGGAAGCGTTAATCATAATAGGCGCGGACACGGGCAGTGACCACCGCGCAAACAATCACGCCGTCTAGACGAAATTTCCAAGTGCTTGTGCAGGGAATGGAATAGATTTTGGAGAAGGAACTATGAGTTACCAAGCTCCTTAGCAAGCTTTTCTGCCTTGGATTTGACGTCTTCGATAGTGCCAGCCATGTAGAACGCAGACTCAGGAAGCGAGTCATGTTGGCCAGAGAGAATCTCCTTGAAGGAACGGACTGTGTCCTTCAATGATACAAGCTTGCCCTCGTAGCCAGTGAAGACTTGGGCAACCTGGAATGGTTGTGACATGAAGCGCTGAATCTTGCGAGCACGCTCAACCTTAAAATCATGGAATTAGCACACGATTGGAGCACTCCTGACACATATACTCACCGTCAGTTTGTCCTCCTCAGACAACTCATCCATACCCAGGATAGCAATGATATCCTGGAGTGACTTGTAGTCTTGGAGAATCTTCTGGACAGCAGTCGCAACATCGTAGTGCTCCCTGCCAACCTATGTCCAGGGAATTGTGAGTAACTTGAATCTTTCGATCGTGTAGCCCTTACAACACGGGGGTCCAGCATGCGGGATTTCGAGTCGAGAGGGTCGACAGCAGGATATATACCGAGCTCAGCAATAGAGCGCGATAACACAGTGGTAGCATCCAAGTGTGCGAAGGTGGTTGCCGGGGCAGGATCCGTTAAGTCATCGGCTGGGACATACACAGCTTGCACGGAGGTGATGGAACCCTTCTTGGTCGTAGTGATACGTTCCTGCCTGGAAGAGATATGGGAATGATGCACACATGAGCAAATATCGTCAGCTTACATGCCACCCATGTCAGTAGAAAGTGTGGGCTGGTAGCCGACGGCAGACGGGATACGACCGAGGAGCGCAGACACTTCGGAGCCGGCCTGGGTGAAGCGGAAGATATTGTCGATGAATAGCAACACATCCTGGCCCTCCTCATCACGGAAGTACTCTGCGATGGTGAGACCGGTAAGAGCTACACGTGCACGGGCGCCAGGTGGCTCATTCATCTGGCCGAAAACGAGGGCGACCTTGGATTCACCCTGGAGGTTGATGACACCAGTCTCGATCATTTCGTGGTAAAGGTCATTACCCTCACGAGTGCGCTCACCAACGCCTGGAAAACCACGCTCACGTGATGAGTCACAGGAAAAATGGCAGCGACACCGAGACATACCGCAGAAAATCGAGAAACCACCATGCGCCTTTGCAACGTTGTTGATGAGCTCCTGAATCAACACGGTCTTGCCGACACCAGCACCCCCGAATAGGCCGATCTTGCCTCCACGAGCATAGGGTGCGAGAAGGTCGACGACCTTGATACCAGTCTCAAGAACTTCGGCGGTTGTTGACTGGTCGACAAATGGCGGAGGCTCCGCGTGGATTGGCTTGCGAGCGACGCCCTTGATGGGACCACGCTCGTCAATGGGTTCACCGATGACATTCATGATGCGTCCCAAAGTCTCACGGCCAACGGGGATTTCGATGGGGGATCTGGTGTCAATAACTTTTTGGCCTCGGACAAGACCCTCGGTACCATCCATGGCGATTGTACGGACAGAGTTCTCGCTCAAATGGGAAGCGACCTCAAGCACTAGGCGGCCACCACGGAAGTCTTGAACTTCGAGAGCATTGAGAATGGGAGGAAGGTCGTCGGTCTCAAACTGAACGTCGACGACAGCACCGATGACCGTCTTGACATAGCCAGTTGCAGCCTTCGACTCTGTCGCATACGAGCGCGCTGAGCGGAGAATTACGTGTCAGTCAGGGTCTTCTTGGCAGAGCAGAAAGACGAGAAAAAAGTATCGTGCAGAGATATAACGTCCAACAAGTCGAGAAAAAGGGCATACCAGGGGTAGACGATGCAAAGCGCGTAGGACGCAGACCAGATTGAGTGCCAGCACAGGCAGAAAGTCCGGCTCTTGCGAGGATGGGAGAAGCAGAGGTAGAAAAGAGAGCGTTGGTTCGCTTTGCACTGTTCACCGCTCTGCGGGAAAGACGAGTGACGCCACGAGAAGTAAGCATCGTGTTCGGTGACGAGGACAACAGCTACAACGACGACGGCGGAGAAAAGCTGTGGGATTGGCAAAGAATTTGGAACAGTGCCAGTGTTCAGTATTCAGACTCAGAATCAACTCCGACAGTACCCGGCTCAGCCCGAAAGTTGGAAATGGTTGGATCGCTTGCAAGAGCAGCATTGCTTGCTTGCTCGAGCTCAACGGGGCTCATGGTTGTGTGATGTTGAGATGCCTGGATTGAGCTGTGCCATGTGAGGTCGTGTATTCCACGCAATGGGTCTGCCCCTTCGGAGAGCACCAATGA